CGGCTCGGGCGGGAAGGGAGCGGTTTCCCCTCCGCAGTGCCCCTCGCCCGGAGTCTGTAACTCTTGCTTTGGACTCTTAATAAAGCGTATGGTGGGAGCATAAAAGTGGGATGCGAATGTGTTAGTGCGGATTGTCGTTTGTTTTTTCTGATTTCCCCAAATAGTCGCAGTAGTTTCCGTTGGTGGGACACTGGTGGCACGTCGGTGAAATCCCCTGTGGGAAGTCGTCTGTGGTAGTTCTTAAGGCGTTTGTGTTTTTTCCTTTAACCTGCTTGCTAAGGTGGCTGTGATTTAACGGCGAGTGCTCCATAGTAGAGTTAAATGTGCTCAGAGTTGTGAATGCATACCCTGTAGTTCTTCAGCCCGTTTTAAGTTACTCGTTACTTCTGAATTGTTAGTAAGGCTGTGCAGTTGGCTGAGTTTTGTATGCATACAAGTATTTGTAAGGGAACATAACTGTGCCATGTGAATAAGGTTAAGAGTAGATGTGGCAGATCCGCATACTCTAAATAGAGGCTCTTGTTCATGACCTACTTTCTTTGCTGAAAACACTTTGTTTTCTAGTTGGATTTTTTTTGGGCCTGTGTGCTAGACAGAAACTGTCGAGGAAGATTCCTCATGATAAAACGGCTGTTGTAGGTAGGAGGTGGATGATTTTTATTTGATGGTATTTTCAAGCTTAATCAACGTGAGACAGTCTCCTAAGGCTGTGGTACAGTTCAAGGGCTATATCACAAGCCCTTGAATTCTTCATGTCAATCACAGCTGCTGCAAATTAACCGTTTTGGTATCTAGTGCCAAATTTATTTGTGAAAACTGTGTAGCTTGTTGGCAGTGCCAGTCCCAATCTTGGTGCCAATGGTTCACCCTTATTGCATAACACTCTTTAGATGTTACAGATCATGACCAAATCTGTGCTCTCCTTTGTAAAAAAAGATGTAGAAAAGTCTTTTTTCATGTGAGTTCTTTGTTGATTGGTGCTTATTTAAGTTAATGTGTGAGCCTAATAGGAGGACAGACCTACATTAATGGCCTGGCTGTCTTTGCCACTAAACTATTCAACAGTGTTTGGTTTTCTCACATCAGGTATTTTTCATCTGATCTATGTCTGACATGAAGGTCATGTTGCTGTTCAAGCAAACTAGAGAGAATTTACTTACAAATACAACAGTCAGAGGAAAGAGGAAAGCACTGGAATTGAAGCTGACTGCAATTAACATATTAGTGTAATTTTCACTATCATGATAGAAATGTGGCTATCTTAGCCTATGATATTTATAATAATATTTAAAGTATTGCTTGTGAAATCAGTGTCAAAAGATGCTTGATTCACATAGGAAAGCAGACAGGAACTTTTTGAGCTTACCCATGTAAGTTGCTATAATCACTGGTAATTGATATGTATGTTAAAATGATTCCAGAATGTTATGAGATGCTAACTGTGCTGAACTTCAAAATATTAATTGACCTTGGTATGGACAGGCACACAAAGTTAGTTAGAAATGGCTATTCTGAATTTCTAGCAATACTGTGAGATGTTGAAATCAGTAGGGTGGTAGCATTTTTGGAGGTCAGTTCTGGGGAAGCAGGTTGAATTGGTTTTTTTCTTAAGTAGTGGAAAGAAAAAGATTCTCAAAGGGTGTTATTTTTCCAGATGTAATGGATGTGAGAGATGATGGATCTCCAGCCATCTTCTAAGTGCAATTCTGCCATCTGTCACTTGAGCAGGGAAAAGTGTTTAATGAGCCTTTAATGGAACTTGGAGATTCCAAATCCTTATCAGAGACACGGCGTGCATTGATTCAGGTGCCTTTGATAAGCTGCACTGCTGCAGCCCATGCTCCTGCAGAGTCAGGGTGTCCCTTTCAGGGTGCACCTTGGGACAGACTCCGTGCTGCCAGATGTTCTGCCACAGCTGTTTGGGCCTGTTGGTCCTGACCAGCTGATGCTCAGCACTGCAGTGGTGGAAGAGGAACAGGTCTGGGTTCTTGGGGGCAGGACACCACTCAGAGACACTGCAACATTTTAAGCCAAACTTGATTTTAATTTGGACTGCAGTGTCTGCTGCTCTGTTGTCTGTAGACTGTGGTGTGCTAGCCAGGCATCCCAAGGTGCCAGGTTTTAGCTCCACTTGCTTCCCACGGAGCCTGTTTCACACACAGTTCCACCTCAACTCCTGTGGAGTGCTGTTCTACACCCTTCTGGTAACAGTGTGATCTTAGAGAGCATATAAAAACCTAAATCTAAGATGGATGTGAAAAAGTAGGATAATTTTCCTTTGAACATAAGAAAAATAGCAATAATAATTTGATGTTATTTTTAATTAGCAGTTAATTGTGGCATCTGGCTAATGATACTGTGCAGAATACATTGCAGTAATGTGGAAGTTCAGGAGCTGATTAAAGCAGAGAAGTCTAAACCCAGCAGAAGCTCTTCCCTATTTACTCAGTTGTAGACAAAACCCTCTCTTCACACATTTGTGTAGGAGCTCTTAGAAGTCTGAAAACATTATCACATTGCCATAAGAGTAACTCCAACGGTCTCAAGCCTTTATTTCAGAGTCAGTGATGTTTTTATTCTCCAAAAAAGTCCTCATGCAAAGTGTTACACAGCTGTCATGCTAGCAGAGCTTGATGGAAATGACACAGTGAAGAGAACCCTCAAACACTGTTCAGCAGAGTTGATTTTAGCACTGTGGAGTAGCAGCAGACTGCTCTTTGAAATAGCAATCTCATTTCAATTTTAAATGTATTATTGTATCGTGCCTGTGATAGTATCACTGCACTATTGTAGTGTTGCTGAGTGATCTTGGGAGAGCAGCTGGAAAGGTTTTCTGGGATGGGAGGTTGTGGCTCTGCAGACCCTTCTCCTCTGTCCCAGGAGTGTGGGTGAGTGTAGGGGAGGTTGGGTGTGTTCTATCTGGGGGGTTTCTTACAGTACCAGTCCTTGGAATGGGCTGCCATTTCCAAGTGGAAATCAGTTTTGGGTTGACTACTCTTCAGAAATTTTCAGAGTGCTAGTATTCATTGGTTAAAAGTGACTAAATGTGCATGAGTTTTGTTGGAAATGCCTCTTTGTTTGCTGCTGTTAGTGCATTAGTGACGTGTAATGGGGTTTTTATTATTTCAGTTGAACAGTGGAATTTTGCGAGGTTTTTTTCCTTTTTCCCACTAGATGGCCCAAGCATGCTTCCAAGTACCCCATGAGAACTGAAACTTAGTTCATTTCTCTTTTAACTGAAGTAAAAACTCTACATTGTGAGGCACATACCAGCCTGTGTGATGCTTTGTGTTTGTTTAAAATACAAACACCTTATATCAACCAAGAGAGTGTTGGTTAATGTAAGGAATATGCAGTAATGAAAGGTTATTTTTTTCTTGATTAGAACATTTTTTATTAAGTGTAGTATAAAGCTATGTAGTTTTGCACTGAGAAGAGAACTGGTGTGCTTTCACTGACTGCTCCACAGTAATTCAGGTAGTTCAGGGAGGGTCTGAAAAGGTGTTGGTCTGAAGTTTGTCCATAACATCTGGGAGTGAGACTGGTATTTTGCAGGCCACCGTAATTGATTTTTTTGGGGGGGTGGCTGGAGTTTCGCTGCATAGGGTTTTCATAACAGCTTTGCAGTTCATTTCAGTAGTGCATAGATGTGGGCAGTGGGTTCTGTATGTGCTGTTAAATGTACAGATTAATTTAATTCAGTTTAACAGACATAAAGTACAACTTGTTATCATGAGTGTCGTTTTGGGTAGTGGCGGAAGATGGATATGTACTGAAGGCAGCTCTTCCATGGGGGGTGAGGCTGAAGAGGTGGTAGGATGTTCATCCATAGAGAGACATTCAAAACTCAACAGGACTGAGGCCTGGGCCAGCTCTGACTGGGATATTGAACTACATGATCTTGAGAGGTCTCCTTCAGCCTTAATTATTCAGCAATTCCAAAATGAGATTTTATTAGTTCCTTTGCTCTACTGCTGTTTAAACCAAAAATAAATGGAAAATGGATAGCTGTCTTTCTGAGCTAGTTGTAACCTCAGCATTTTGAATTAACTTCCAGCTTCCCTTTGCTTCTAAGGGCCTTGATGTGGTGGTATTAGACCACCAGAAAAAGGATGTCTGTTTGTGAGCGTACTTTTCCTCCTTAACTTGCAATCCCCACTGGGGGAAAAAAAAGCCATTTAAAGGGAGTGCTCTTTTCCTTCATTTCACTGCTGCACTTGCCAAGTGCTGTCTCTTGCCTTACATTTGGTATTATTACTTCTAGTGTCTCTTTTTAACAGGTATGACAGATTTTGTCTTATTCTATTTCTTAGGATCTTTCCTAGATTTTCTCTTTTGATCTTTTCCTTTATGGAAAAGAAACAGCTGTTGTCCCTTCCTCTGCATCTGACTGTATTCCTTTTTCCCTTCCTTTTCCCATTGTTAGTATTTGTCCTGTCCTGCCACCTTCCTGCTTCTCTTCCCTTTTCTGGCTGGAGACAAACCAATATGTTCACATGTACCAGAAGGATGGACATAAATGGAGTATTTTGGTGGCAGAAGTATTGCTGCCTGCAGTCAGTTCTGTAGGCAGAGGTAATCTGCCCTAGTTCACAGCCCTACTGATATGTGTTCAGTGCTGCATTTGCAGTGGTTTGGTTTCTGTTCTAGTTTCTTCCAAAGTCAACAGCTTTCAGTTCATTGAGCAATGTGCCAGTTGAGCCAGATACAGAGAAATTTCTAAAGATACTGATTTTATGATAGATTTGTATGTTTAGTGGGATTTCTTTCCTAGACTGATGTACTCTTCACTTTATGTAGGACATTGGCTGTATGGCCTCACAACTGCTGTTATTAGTAATACAGGCTTAACTTTATTTGTGACTGGAAACTAAACTGATGAAAGCAATTCCATTTTTAGCATCCTGGTAGTGGAAAACATACCTATAGCTATACTAAAATGTTAGTAGCAGTATTTTTGGTTAGTTGCATAAGTTATGGTTTAGTTCTATTTTGCTGTAAGTATACTAAAATGTTAGTAGCAGTATTTTTTGGTTAGTTGCATAAGTTATGGTTTAGTTCTATTTTTTTTACCAAACAAATTTAATAGCAAGTATGAAATGAAGCAAGTTTAAAAAGTTGTGTTTCTAGGAAATCTTTGGTGCAACAGGAACAGGTGTAATTTGTCTACACATATTGCAGGTATTACATGGAACCTCAGTGTAAGAGGGACATTATCCAATCGTGATGTGAAGGTTTTTCAGCTAGAATCTCAGGTCTCAAAACTGCATTTCACATACTTTTAGTAACTGTAGAGTTAAAGCAGGCAGTAATATTTGTTTTCAGGCAAAGGTTTTATTTCATGTATCTGTTGTATGTAGTACAATAATAAGCTTATTGTGTGTTTTTGCTTCTGGAGGTACAGCAGTTATATTTTAGGGTGAACAAAAATAGTGATGGGCAGGATGTCAGAAAGGTGTTGTGTTTCATACCTGTGTCAGTGCATTTACATAGTGGTGCCCCCTAAATACATGTAGGCATTTTGGATAAGTGGGTATAGTGCCTTTGGGTGCATGACATAGCAGCCACCATGTAGAACCGTTTGGAAGCTGGACCAAGCTGCAGAAGGTTGAAGTATCAGGTGAGAGCTTTGAAACCACCTCCTGCTATAAGAAATGCTCATCCAGTTCAGTTTAAATTTGTTTAACTTTACAGCTACAGTGGTTTCAGCATTGTCATACTGAAATCTTCACCCCAATATCAGTTCTGTTTGGTTGGCAAAAGTAATTCTAAAATCAAACTGCTTATTGCAATCAATAAAGCATGTTCTTATGGCTAAAATACCAATTCCAGTTTCTGATCTTTTCAGAGTAGCTCAGAAATAATTGAAAACAAAAGGCAACATGTATGTATTTAAAATAGTGTTAATGTTATTATTTTGTCTTTATATTCCTTTTTGTTCTTCACTAGATGTCACTAGTAGATTTGGGAAAGAAACTTTTAGAAGCTGCACGAGCAGGTCAAGATGATGAAGTTCGCATTTTGATGGCAAATGGAGCACCTTTTACCACAGACTGGGTAATGACAACTTTTACAGTGGAGAAAGTAAATCATCTTAGATTTCTCACCTGAAGAAAGAAATACCATTCTTAAAATTTAGCATTTATATTACAGTTCTTCTTGGAATTCTGCATTCACATCATCTAACGTCCAATTCAAAATTAAACTTGTCTGTTTTTTCATTTGACTGCCTACTGATTTCAGTAACAGACTGTGAAAGAGCTCATTCTGGTGATTTCAAGATGAACTTTGGAATGGTTAATGGGAAAAAGCAGCTGTCATCCTCCTAGTTACTGTGTTCATGCATGTTAGTATAGTAAGAGTCCAAGTTATGCAAACAGTCCTAACTACCTAATATGTGCAACTGAGAGTTCCCTAATATAGGGGTGCTGAGTTGTCCTTTGGAGGTGCTGATTTTTGAATAGGTTGTAGAGAGAGGTCAGGTACCCAAAATTCCTAGGGCGTTTACAAGCTCTTGAGAGCCTTAATCTGCTTAGTGACCTAACTTCCAAATTAACTCTGTTTTGAGCAGGAGGTTGGACTTAATTGACTTCCATAGGTCCCTGTTGACCAACATTAAAAATGGGGTCAGACTCCTTGAAATGTTACATGTCAAAAAGACAGAAAAAACAGAGTTAAAAGAAAGAAACAGCAAACTTCCCTCCCCTGTTCATATTCTGTAGAACAACAGCTTCTCTCCTTGAGACTACAAGGAAAAATGGTTTTGAAGTGGTGGCTTGACACCTGGGTTTGGTATCTTGAGAGTAAGAAGAAATGCTTTGTGCTGACATGTGTTAGATCTGCATGTTTTGTGTCCCATTTCAGCTGGGAACATCTCCACTTCATCTAGCAGCACAGTACGGACATTACTCCACCACAGAGGTGCTGCTGCGAGCAGGTGTGAGTCGGGATGCCAGAACCAAAGTGGACAGAACTCCATTGCACATGGCAGCATCAGAAGGCCATGCCAGCATAGTAGAAGTCTTACTTAAGGTACAAGTCTGAAGTGGGGTTATTCCAATGGTTTATGATCAGATATTTGCAATTTGGTTTTAGTCATGAAGCCAGCATCGAAGTGACATGAATAGTTGAACTGTGTGCATTGGGAGCTTTGTTTTTCAATTCAACTGTAATTTATTTTACATTATAATCATCATGATTTCAGGTGAATTATTTACTGCTGTTTCAAAATAAGAATACTCCCTAATTTGATATTGTGTTGAGCAATAGATTTCAGAAATAAGATGTGCTTTAGGGAATCTGTAATCCTTTTGAGGTAAATAATGTATTTGGTAGATAGATTGGATCACTTTGAACAAATATGTAAATGTAAGATAACAGGGCATTCCTTATGGAGAAAAACCATTTAGGGCTTCATTCTGTGACCAGCATTATATGATTCAGATATTTCTAATGACATAATTTATGCAATGATTTTGTTTGTAGCATGGTGCTGATGTCAATGCGAAGGACATGCTCAAAATGACTGCACTTCACTGGGCTACTGAACATCACCACCAAGAAGTTGTAGAACTCTTGATAAAGTATGGAGCAGATGTTCATGCTCAGAGTAAATTTTGCAAAACGGCATTAGATATTGCAGTAGACAATGGAAATGAAGACATTGCAGAAATATTACAGGTAACTTTTAATTCCTCATGTGAAGGGAACTTGCAGCAAAGTACTTGATTACACGTCATAAACTAAGCTTTTACTGTAGCAGCTGTGACACTGTATGTTGATAATGCCACACTCCAGTCTAATTCATTACATGAAATGAGATTTATATTAGTAAGCATTACTTGGTCAAAGAACAGTTTCACCACCTACAAAGTCAAGGATAAGTATTCTTTATTTTCTTAAATTTGAGTGATGTAATACACAGTGGTAGGTGGACTCCTTACAATTGAGGTGTACAAAAATAACTGCCTTCTGATCAGTAGATTCTGACTATTAATTTCCTAGTTGGAGTTCAGACAGGACAGAAAAGATGCCAATTTTTCCAGAATTAGAATTTCTGATCAGTAGATTCTGACTGTCCCCTAGTATTCAGTTAGCTTCACATATGGTTATTAATTTCCTAGTTGGAGTTCAGACAGGACAGAAAAGATGCCAATTTTTCCAAAATTAGAAAAGTAATATTGCATTGTTGGATAATTTATTTTAATAGGTAATTTCATGGAAATGCGTACTCCCTGTTCAATAGTGTTGTTAAAGGCAAATTACATTTTACTGAGTAAAGAATGCAAAGCAAATTAAAAATATCTGCTGTATAAATTATGCTGCTCTATAAATCTGTAGCCTCCCTATGCCTTTAAATGGCTGTCTGGTGTGTTCCTTTAGCCTTCTCCTCCTTATAGAAAGGGTGAAGTAAACAGAAGTTAGTAATAATTCATAGGAAGACAAAACGACTGCCATGTGCATTGCTGGGCAATTGCAAAGCTGTCAGTGTAGCTTTTCATGATATGTATCTGCCCCAGCAGTCTTGGTTCTTTAGACTTCTCTTTTAGGTAAGTGAGCTTGCACATCTGCAAAAGAGCCTTGTCCTCATTGTTTACACAACTGGTAGGGACAAGTAGTGGTGTGTTGTTAAACTCTTTCACTCCAATAGACTCACTGTCTTTAGATTTCAGCAAAAAAAAAAGTTTCTTATGTACTTGGAGATAGGACCCGATGTATGTGTATTGCATGAGTATAATGAGGGAGATCCTCCTTGTCTGTGTGAAGCATGCAAGAATTCTAGCTCTTACACAAGGTCAGCAGCTCCTTTATATGTGCAGTGGGAATGATGTTGTTACCTTTGTGTCCCAGATTGCAATGCAGAACCAAATCAATACGAATCCCGAGAGCCCGGACACTGTGACGATACACGCAGCCACACCGCAGTTCATCATCGGACCTGGCGGGGTGGTGAACCTAACAGGTCTGGTATCTTCTGCAAATACATCCAATAGAACAGGTATTTACATGCCTAAAGGATAGCTACTGGGATTTTCTACTTTCACTGATTTTCACCATTTAGTGAAAAGCTGTGAGGAAAAACAGTGGTAAGAATAGTTACCATATTCCTTGTCAGTGTTTTTTGTGTGTTGTGAATATGTACATACCTAAAACAATAATCTTCACAGATATAAATTATCAGAAGTTCTCTTTGCTTAACAGACTTCACTTCAGAATAGCACTTTGGTTCAGCAGAATGCTGCTGAAAATGGAGTGTGTGCTAGAAGTTTCAGTGCAATAAAAATAGAAGAAGGGACTTTGCTGGTTTTAAATTTATCAGTTAATTTTTTTTTTCATTCTTCTAGATGAAACAGGAGTGTCTGCTGTACAGTTTGGAAATTCATCAACATCAGTATTAGCTACGTTGGCAGCTTTAGCAGAAGCATCAGCTCCACTGTCTAATTCTTCAGAAACACCAGGTTAGAAAGCTAAGTCGTTCAAACTAATTTAATAAATTTAAAGTACGTAACGTAAAGCTTCCTTCAGCGTGTGAAGTAGTGCAGTAAATAATGATTCTATGGGTATAGATAAGGAAGGAGAGCAAGGAAGGAATAATGACCATATTTATGGGGCTGGCTTTTTCTTTTTATACAGAATAGCTTCTTTTTAGACAAAATCTTCCCTTTTCTTTCAAGGTTTGAAGAAGTACTAGCCATGTTTCCTTCCAGAACTAAAACTCAACACTGAGTTTGACACTGAAAGATCAGAGCTGTTTGCCACAGCACCTAGTATTGGCACTTGAAATTTAGACTTTTTTGTGACAGTGGTCTTACTGCTAAGCCTGTACTTGGAAGCCAAATCAAGTTCAATACAGCACCACTTATTCATGTGGGAGTTGCTGTTTTGGTTTCCTGAATAAACACTCTGTGAATATTTAAGCAGTGTTATAGGACAGTAATCTTTAAACATAAAGATCTTCAGATGACAATGTCTGCAATCATTATTTCAACTACAGAGTGATTTTTCTTTGTATGTTATGTTGTAATCAACTTAAAAGATGAAAGCTTCAGAGTTTTATCTGCCTTCTGTCATCTTGAACATCACAACACAGTCTATAGGGTTTTAATTTCCTCTCTGTAGATGGAGAACACTCTATTGTCTGTTATTTAAATCAAAGGCTTTGCTTTTACCCTGACAAATTGAAAATAAAATACAGACCTAGTGTTCTTGAATTTCCTTGATTGTGCTACCAGTCATCTTGCTCTTTTTCACAGCATCTTGTTGGATGGTAGCACAATACCCCATTTGCAGCATACAGGGCAAGCTGGGGTATCTGCTGTAGTTCTGAATGCTGACTTTCCTTGTCCTACCTTGATTTATAGAGATGATACAGATCTGTGAGAGTTCACTGCTTTATACTCATTATTGAATCATGAATATGAAATAGTTGAGCTTGAATTTTTCACTTTTACCTATAAAATTATATACATACAACGTTTGTTTTACTTCTTAGGCTTTCTCTTTCTTCTTCGAAGGTGTAAAAAATGTCAGCTCTGCAGAACTTTTCCTTTAGTCTTGTTTCATACTTTGTATAAGAAATAAAGTTGTTTGAAGTACTCATAGAGTAGAGACAAAACTTAAGATTCTCTAGGGGTCCTTTAGTCTATTACCATCTTGAAGACCATTATATTAAACAGAGAAATCTAAGATGGGTCCTGACATACAGTGGCAAGGCATTGGTTGGAAGTAGCTTCTAGGTAGTATTACAAGTTAATTATTTTTTATTCTGCCATTAGTGTAACTTAGTCCAGCTTGTGTACAATGCAGAAATTCCTTGTGTTCTTAAAAGCAGCTGCTGTTCTTGCTGACCTGTTAACACTGACCCCAAAGCATCAATTTTGAGTGGGATATATCAATATTATTATATTGAGCAAGGATGGTGTTGCATGTAAATGTCAAAATGTGAGTGCTTTATGTTGGCCTGATGAAAGACTCTATTTAAAATATAATACATAATAAAGTATTCATCAGGGGGGTCAAGTTATAAATGCCATGGAATAAATGTTTTCTCAGCTGTATGAAAATGCATTTGAAATCTTAAAAGTTTCACTTATAAATTGACTTAATTCCTTTATAATCTGTTGCTAGTTGTGGCCACAGAAGAAGTTGTGACTGCAGAATCTGTGGATGGGGCCATTCAGCAAGTGGTCAGTTCTGGAGGTCAGCAGGTTATTACCATAGTTACAGATGGCATTCAGCTGGGTAACCTGCATTCCATTCCAACCAGTGGCATAGGGCAGCCCATCATTGTGACCATGCCAGATGGGCAGCAAGGTGAGTGCACACTTGTGATTCCAGCTTGAGGAACTGTTTTAACTACAGTAATAATAATGATGACTTCTTAGTTGCAAACAGCTTGGACCATTTTGTTTACTTCTATGAATTCTTATATTAGAGAAGGCTCAGACACAAGCCTCTGCAGTTCAGTGGGTTAACATGTCAGCTGAGCCTCTGCTTTAGGAGAGAGAATAGAAGAGTTGCTAAACTATGGAGGAGACATGGGACATTTAACATTGCTTTGCCTTCAGTAAGTTTGATTTTTGCAAACTTGTTACAGAAACTAGATGATGGAGTAAAACAGAGACCATCTTCTAATTCTTACACTATTGCATTGCTGGAAGTACTGTGGGGAGGTGAGGCTTGGATTTAGAAATCTGATGCATTAAGCAATGTGTGTGAGTCCCATGGAGTGTCAGTACACTGACACACTGACTGACAAATGTCAGGTCTTACATGCCTGAAGTTTTAGAGCAGCACTAACAGAACCAGTGAAGCCAGAGTGACACAATATTTTGGGGGGGCCGTATGTACTTTGTAGAAGCTGCCAGTGTGATAAACCGTTTTTTGTGATGCGTAGGCTTTGGGTGGTTTCTTTTAAAGATCTCCTGGCACTATTTAGATAAAAATGATCCCTTCTCTGGTTTCTTCATGAGGACTCCCAGTGTGAAGCAGGAAGAGTTGTACACAGGAGGCAAATTATTTGGTTCACAGTGTGCCTGAGCTAGTACACCTTGTTGTCATTATGAGTGAGTGGCTGTAGATGGCTACTGAGGTGACAGTTACATTTATTTACCAGATAGCTGTGTAAGGAATTAGAGTATGACTTTACTGAGAACTCTGATTTTCTTATTAATGGCTAATAACTACTGGATTTTTAGATTACTTAATATGTATTAATCAAAACAAATGCAAAATTTGTATTTAGTATTTATTCAAGCAATATTATCCAAATGGTCTGCTACAGAAGTTAAGAGTTGACAGGCTGGTGACTCTGCTGCAGTCCTCTGCCATGTCTGTTTACTTTGTGAAAATGGCAGTGATATTCCAGAGCTAATTACTGTAGGCTTCAACAATGAGGAATTTTAAAGTTCTTAAGTAGCATACAAGCAACTAAAATTTTTAGTAGATTTTAACTGAGCTTATTATGCACTTTATTATATAGATACTTTTGCTTGTGAAAACATATCTGCATTTTTTGCTTATTTAGTGTAAATATTGTTCGAAGTAAATGTATTTACATGTACAAATACATTTTCAGTGTTAACAGTTCCAGCAACAGACATTGCTGAAGAAACTGTAATAAGTGAAGAGCCGCCAGTGAAGAGACAGTGCATTGAGATTGTTGAAAATCGTGTGGAGTCTGCAGAAATAGAAGTAAGGAGTATATTACGTGATCTGTGTTGAACAGTGTTCAGGACTGAGTATCTGGTTATGCTTTTTGTATTGTTCAGGAGGTTAATTTCTGTGTTGCTACAGAATGAATTGTGTGAAACATTCAACTTGTTCAGTCTCTCCTGTAACTGAAATTCATCTTTTACAAAGTTGTTGTAAAAAGAAAATAGGAGGGCTGTTTGCTTGATCCTGTGGTCATGCATGTAAAAGTGACACTTGTTTAGGTGTATGAGCATTTTTTTGTTTTTCATGAAGATCACTAGCTGGTTGTTAAAGCTGGGTGCTGATCCATTATCGAGCAATTTGACTCTTTCCGCTAGGAGTGAATGAGAGCACTGTACCCTCATCTTTCTGTTACAGCCACATGCTTCTGATTGTGAGATCATTTTTAGCAATGTTTCCTTTCCATTCATGGTATCTAGATAACTGTTGATGGAAGTGTGAAACAGTAAGATTCTGTGTTTGTTAATTTTTATCTGTGTGGTATCCCCCACCTTTTTTTTTTTTAATTTTGAGGCAGTTTATTACTACACAATTTTGCACCGTCTGTTTTTTTAAAAACTATGTGGCAAAAGACCTGAAAAATGTTAAGAGCTCTTTCCTTTTTATATGACAAATGGATGTAGCTGTTCAGTTTAAAATTGTAGCTTTTTTTATACTAGCCACAAAAGGTCAACCATCTCATTCCTTTTCCTGTTACTTCTAACTGTGCTGACCAGTTTTGGCCAAAAGTTTATGAAAATTGCTGTCTGCTTTGACTAGACTGTAAGTTTTCATTTTGTCAACTCCATGATATTTCATTTATCAAAGGTTGTATTCTCCAACTTCTGTTCATATTATCAAGTTGTGTCTAATTGAATACTTTTTGTTGTACAGTATGTGCTATATGTTATCCATGTCTAATAACAATAATTACCACCTCTCATCATTTATTTTCCATGTCCCTAAGTTGTTGCATCAAATACTTTTGGCCTTTGCAGCTTTGTGGTCATTACAGATTATCCTGACAGTTGAAATTTTCTTGCTGCATTTTTTAAAATGTATGACTGTTACAATAAAAGCATTTCTTTTGTTCACACTTTAAAAAATCTGCCTGAATTATTCATAAAGGAAATTACATTTCCTTAAGTATTTTAGTAATTCTGTTAAATGAATTTTTTAAAAAGTCCAGATTGGTTAAGGGATAAATTGACCTGTTCTTAATTACAGATAATTGGTATAAAAAAACCCAATAATTATTTTAAGGGGATTACCAGCTTTATTTATATATGTTAAACATATTTCTCAAATATTGAAAAGTTGATTTAGATGAGTTACTTGGTCTGTTACTTTTAAGTGGAAGTTTTGATGACTTTCTTGTCCCTGCCTGTACAACTGGAAGTGCACATGCAGACCTCTGCCTCTGTGTTGAAGGCCAGTTGTGTTTAGGGGCCTTGTTGTGGCTCACAGGGGTATGTGCACCTTACTTTAGTAGCAGTGGATACTGCTACTAAAAAAGTGCACACAAAGATGGTTCCCTTCAAATTTCTTCTTCACAGACAGTGGTAGATATTTACATTTGGAGTGGGACCCTTCCCCTCATTAAAGTATTTTAAAAATATTTTAGAATGTGGAAATGCAGAAAACATTTGTTTTCTTTGCCTCATTCTAATTCATTATTTTATTATAAAGGTTGATTCAAGGCTGAATGCTTTTTTCAGCTGTTTTAAGTTCATAGTGTGTGAACAGTTTACTGTAGTTTGAAAGTTTTTGTAGTTGAAAATCCTCTCATCCATGTGAGGTGACCAGCTTTCCTGAGAAAGTACTGTGGAACAACTAAAGCTGTAGTGATGTTTTTAAATTTTCTATTCTGGGTCTGTTAAGTTAAAATGTTTCAGCTCATTTTGTAGATTGACAGCAGTTTTCCTAAGCAGTTTGATATTTTAAACATGGGATGGCAGCAAAAAAACCCTGTCACATAGATACTGTTTTTCATTTTCATGCATAATTCATTAACACATAGTGATCTTTATTTTCATTCTTTAATTTGACTGTTTCTCCCATGTTCCATGTTTGAAAGGTGACATGCATTAGAACCAGGAGAATCATTTAATTAGACTAAAAAATAATCATAATTGTAAACTAATTATATTCATGGATTCATATTCTGTGTCTGTGTGTTGTTTAAAAGTGGTTGATTATTTTAGTTATAAGTGTTCCTATTGTCAATGAGAAGTTACATGTATGAAGAAAATTCCCTGGTAAAATGGAAGTTTTCTTTAGAGCACTGAACATCCTCTAATTTGATTTTTATCTGGGTAGGTGATAAAAAAGGACTCCAGATCTTTAGAACACTTCTGGTTGTGTTCTAAAGAATGTCCCAAGAACACTTTCAGGGTTTGATTAAGTTGGTAGATGAGATAACATCCTCTCTATTCTACATGTCAGAGTCAGAGAACCAGTTTTGACCATTGACTCCACAATAGATGTGTTGTTCCTCCAAAAGCATTGGGCTCTTTCCACTGCCTAGTCACACAGTATAGTTGGCTTCATCTCATTCTGTTTGTTGGGACTGTGACAGTCTAAAAACTACACCTGTTAGCTGCTGGACTAATCCATGTGCTTTGAGTTGCTAGTCTGTCTGGTAGATACTGATTTTATCTTCTGGCCATGCCCTGGGGGCTTGGGTTTTTCCCATTTTTTCTTACCCTTTCCTTAACGTGCTGTACTACTTTTGGGTATGCAGCTCTAGTTCTCTCTTCTGTGGGAAATACTCTTAAAATGTTGTTCAAGAACCTCCCCACCCCCAAATGTTTGCAGTGTGCACACTTCACAGCACTGATTCCATCCCCAAATGTTTGCAGTGTGCACACTCCACAGCACTGATTCCACCCCCAAATGTTTGCACACATTCCACAGCAGGGATAGCCCCTTGCTGTTTGTAATGCACCACAGGACTTCTTGCCAGTGAATACCAATGGTTCTTATTTCTGTGCAGGCCAGCAGATACAGCAGCTTTGCTTCTTGACAGTATTAGGTTTTTTGATGGTTTTTATGAGACCAGTTCATGGGAGAGAGAATGCCCAGCTCAGTACATCCCAGCCTTCAAAAAGGAAAGGCTGCTGTACACATGTGGAAAGATCAAGTGTTTTGACTAATTCCCTGGGAATTATCTTGTAGCTCTGTTCACCAAGGCTGTAATCCATGAGGCTGTTTTACGTAAGTTGTCGGTCCCCTCATACTGCAGGGAGAACTTTTGGAAATAGCAGTGGGCTGGTGGTGGAGGATCATTGGTGTGTTTCAGATCCTCTGAGGTGTAGGCTCTGCTGTTCATTTGGCATCTGCCAGGCTCATTGCTACATGGGCTGACCATCCTTAAAGTTACCTTAAAAGCAGAATCCAATTTTTCAGAGCTGGAAGCTGAACTTCTTTTCAAATAAGTAGGCAAAATCAGATGAGCTCTCATTTTATTAGCCCATGCTCCAAATGAAGCAAACCCTAGCCTGCTGCCTTCAGCTCTTAAAACCCCTTGGAAAGTCAAGTTGCACTTAATGGAGTTTGTTCTGTGTTCTAGCTAGTCTCTTTATAACCTGTTAATATCATCTCCTTCATCTGCTGTTTTTGCTGTTCAGGTGCTGCTGTTTGCAATGATCTGACCACCTCTGTCATTGTATTTAAGCACATTCAGCTGACATGTGACTGCTAAATGTAGCTGTGACAAGTACTGAGAACAGTAGCAAGTAGAAGGGAGGCAGAGTATTTTTGTATTTTTCTGACCATGAAAATATGTGAGTGCATCAGAGAAGAAGAATAGGGATGCTCTTAGGGGAGTGTGGGGGGCTGGAACTTCTAACAACTGTTAGAGGTATTAAATGGAAATGGGATATTGAACTGCTGGGATGGGAATGTGGTGAAAAGACAACTTGCTTTCACTGGACATCAGTTTTTTGATAAGTTGTTTCTCTGGGAGATGGCTTGTTTCTCTGGCAACCTTCCTTACTGTTCCTACTTAACAACTACAGCGGAAAGAATGATTTTAAATCCAATACTACCTTACTCATAAAAGTATGATGCACTTCAATGAAATGGTATTTGATTGAATATTTGATCAAAACAAAACTATTTCCCAAGCAAAGTGCTTTTTCAATTGGGCTCAGAGCAACATCAGACAAAATGACATTACCTGCATCACTGGAGATGGAGATGTGTTCTCCTTAGTTTCTAAGGCAGCTTCAGAGGATGTGGCATTTCCTGGATCATTTTGCTTGGAAACCATTTTATATCCATCCCCAGCAAACTTGTATGCAGGATTTCTGCAGTTACTTAAGGATTTCTTTACTAGCTGCTTGTAAAAGGAAAAAAAGCTTATCTGGCTAATTGCCTGTTAATTCATAAAGATATGGTGTCCTTGGGGATGTGATTAGACCTCTGGATTGCAGAGTATCAATCCCTCTTTGGAACCAGGTTTATGCTTTTGGTTTCTTAACATTTGGTTTATGCTTTGGTCAGTGGGCAGCTGACACTCCTGATGGGTAACAGCTTGTCATTTTTACTGTCTGATTAGATATACAACAGCAAGGGACAAGGCTGTTAGATTGAATGATTGGAGAAATGTTAATATATTCTGTTAGTATTTAATCACCACGCTTCCGCTTTCTTCATTTAGCTCTTTTTTGGTGAAGATTTGCATGGTACCTCTGCAGCTCAGTAGAATGGGGTTTACTCTCCACACTTGCAGCCCTGTGTGGGGAGTGGCTGGTTGATAATTGGGGTCTGATTTGCACAGCAGCATTCATACAGGTTTGCCCGAGTAAGAACTGAACAGCTTCTCCATGATACCCTAGCACTTGAACTGCATGTAAAGGAAAAGTATGTGCCATTTTAGCTTGTATTTGATACTTATTTGACAAAATATTGCTGGTTCTGTTTCTAATAGGAAAGAGAAACTCTTCAGAAACAGCTGGATGAGGCAAACAGAGAAGCACAAAAATATCGTCAGCAGCTTCTAAAGAAGGAACAAGAAGCAGAGGCCTATCGGCAGAAGTTAGAGGCAATGAACCGCCTCCAGACTAATAAAGAAGCTGTTTAATAAAAAATGAACACACTGCAAAGCCTGTTACTTTCAAAAACCTGCAGTACAATCTTGAACTGTACACTATATAGGTACAGCCATGGGATTTCATGATAGAGAAGATGCTACAAGTTGATAACTGGACTTAAGCCGTGAGCTCTGATTGATTTCTTGTAACATAAAAACTCTGAATTTAGAAATTGTGAAAAGTATTTAAAATTAAATACTGTAAATAGTTGGTTTTTTTACAGTTTCAAAATGAGTTGATAAATCTTTTTGAAGGGATCCAGAAACATGAAAAGCCAATGTTTTTGTGAAATTTTTGATTTTAGTATGAATCTAACTTCTGAAAAACAGAACAGTTTTAAGGGTGATGTTGATTTAAGCTGACAATTTGAAATTTGATTATGTGACAAAATTAATTAACAGTTATTTCTACATGATAACAGCTCAACTTCTCTGAATAAGACATTTCCAGGTGGAAATCTTTGTACAGCTTTAAGTAGTTGTCTCAGATTCTCTGAAAACCATTTTTGGTTGGTTTTTTTTTTATTTTAGGTGGTGAAATTTTTATATTTAATTTCAGATATATCCAAGTAGATTTACATGTATATGAAGCTAATATTTTTTAAACTTTTCAGTTTGTACATATGCTGCATGTTTTTATAATTTCTACACATACATCTTGCATAGGTATTTTTCAGCAAAGATGAGAAAAATTATGAGAAAAATGTTTAGCCTATAGGTCATTTGAAGTAAGCTAGCAGCCAGTTTTATTGTGGATGGTATATTTCTTGGAAGAATGTAATTTGTAATTAAGAAGAACAAAAAAGTATCTTAATTTACATATTAAGAGGCAAAATTTGGTAGTGGAGGCGTTGGGACTTCACTTTGTGTGTCTTACGATTTTCATGTACAAACATTTAAAGTTCAGTCATGAATAGAAAAGAACATCTCCACTGGAACACAAATACTAGCTATTTTAGAATATCCCTGTTGGTCTCTCTTCCCCCATAGCCTTGAAATTACTTCAGTGATAACATTTTTTTTAACGGACTTTTGCATTTTAATTACGCAATTGGACGAGTAATTTTTTTATGTTGTAGTGATGCTCTTCCTAGGCAGCATCATTGTTCCTCACTGTGATACTGTGTTTGTGTGTGTCTGTGCAGTGATCTATTATGCTTAAAATTTATATGGCACGTTACATCTTCAGAGCATTGTAAAATCTTTTAAAGAGCCCTTACTGCTCTGCCTGAGGCAGGTAAGTGAGTGTTATTGTCTCAATTTTATAACTGGTTTAAGTGCAACATGAGGGAGTGTGAAATGACTGGCTTACCACCACAGGAACCTGTGGTCACCTGGGGATGGATCTCAGGAGTTCCTGGCTTCTAGTCCTGTGCTTAGACTGAGCTGCCTTAAGATTGTTCAGTGCTGTGTTACATTAAATTTTGAACTACTGTGCAGATCCGTTTTTTGTAAGATAAAACTCTTTGTGCTTTGCTTTGTTGTTCCATGTTCACTGCTTTTATGGAATTGTTTATATAAACTTAAGCAAAAAGTCTGGTTTATCTATACTGTACACGGAAGAATTACCCTTAAAACTGTACTCTGGCCTACTTTTTCTATTTTACAATTAAATATCTTTTCCACATATATATAGTGTAGAATCAGTTCAATTGGTTTGTGTGTGAATGAGAAGGTCAAAGCTGTTCTGTGTTAGACATCTGGAAAAACATGAAAAAACCAGTTGTGGATATAAAATGGCCTTATATGGTAGGAGGGAGGAATGGGGAAAGAATTGCATTGTACTGTACAAAACTTCGTCAAACTGGTCAAAATTGACTTGGGTTTATAGATTTGGCAGTTAGGAAAAATTCTAAATATATTTGTATTGTTACATGTTTGGTAAGTTTGATTTTGATTGGCAAATTCAAACAAAAAATAATCAAAAGACAGAAATGGGAAATGATGGTGGTGAGTTTTAGAAGAATTATTTTCAAGGATATCATCATGTTAGTATAGAACTTGAAGCAAACCTTGTGCAATGGTTAACTGGAAATTGCTCTATTTTAGGGATTTTTTCAGGAACTACCCATTATGTCATTAGCAGATTGAGGAACCAGTTAGCCAAGGGAAATGTGCTGCTTAGGCATTGCTCCCATTAATTATTTTGTGATGAAAATAATGTTTGTGTCCTCACATCCCACGAATTTAACGACAGTGTAATCTCTGTGATTTCTTAATAATGATAAGCGTGGCACTGTTTGAGTGGTGATAGTGGCAACATCCAAGTGGAGAGTTTCCCACGGTTGTGACAGCAGATGTTGGCAGCAAACAATGAAATGAACCTTTTCTATTAATTCTGTTTCCTGTGAGCAAATATTTTGTTCCTCATTGTCCATCACAAAACCCTTCTGAGTGCAGCGTAGCTATAACAAAACCTTATTTATCACCAGCAATATTTACCCTGCCTGTAATCCATTATCAGCTATTTTATTTTAGTTCCGAACGGGACCTGCTGTTTGTTCTCTTCTGCACAGAACAAGAGATGAACCCAATGAAGCTGTCACCTTTGGGCTAAAGTAGAGTATATGTTACGTGAAATATTTCTTATATAGTTTAGTTCTGAAAACATTGTTAAAAATATTGTTCCTTATTTGCTGTTCCAAATTAAAAATGCAACGTTATTAGCTACCATCTGTTTCTTTGAACAGATGTCCATATATATTAGCATATTAATCACTTGTAATGAGCTAAAATCAGGGGTTTTGAGAACTTCGGTATCATTTTGAGTTGGTCCTTGGCTTGATGCCTGTCCCTTCTTAGCTTGTTCCTCTTTATGGGATCATTTACAGTACAACCAAGAGATGTTCATAAATTCCTATTAAACACACGGGCAGCTCATTACTTTTTTCCTGTTTCCAAAGCAATATGAGATAAAACAGATGAATATGCAGTAGTTTTTTGCACTTCTCTCAATGCTTTTTTATCAATTTGGGATTTTTATTTCAGTACATTAATCTGATGTGTGTGTGTCAGAGCATCTTTCTCATATCTATAAAACAGTTCCTTCTCAAGTATCTATTTGCAGCAGAAACTAGAAGAGGTTTCACACTGTTCTGTAGACAGTGTGTGTGAGAACAATGTAAAAACTTTCTAGAACTATGTAAGTGGTTGTGCTTGCATTAGAGTACCTGGGGCAGAGAATCAAAGCTGCTCTGGCAGCCTGTTCTCTCCTGTGAGAGAACAGCAAAGCTGCTGGGAGGTATCAGACACAGAGTCTGCCTGGCCTGGCATCCTTTCCCCAGCAGGGCCAGCCCCAAGCAGGAGCCTAGGGTATGGCAAAAATAGGCAAGAATGTATTGTATGGGAAATAATTTCTCTTTCTGGTGCTTAGTCCACAAGTCCTCTTGTCTTTTCCCAGGGCTGCCTGATGCAGTGTAGAGCAAGTGAAGATGGATAAGGATTCAACATTGAGTAGTGTCAAAGATTGTGCTGCCAGAGAGAGGTCAGGTGTTTTCATGTCCTAAAACTGGAACAAGAGACAATCTATAAGAATGTTCTTTCAAACTGAGAACAATCTAGGTGGAGGACTTGGAGGAATTCTGGAGAGACAAGGCTAAATCCCAGTGTTTATGCATATCATAGAGGAGAAAAGAAAGCACAGTGAGGGAAGAGGTGCCTTTTCCCAGCTCAGTGGTCTAGGGTGATATCCATGGAGGAACATCACCTCCATGGATAGTGTAACCTGCTCTGCTCTGATCTGGAGCAGGAAATCCACAGAGGACCATTGCTGCTTCACACTGTAGTTCTGGAACTGGCAATAGCTGTGAAGCCTTTCCTTTGGCAGCATGGGACTGAACACTTGTGGGGATGTAGGTATACTCTTTTATTTGGGAAAAAAAGAGTTCTCAAAACAATTCTTAGGAAAACTTCCTGTCTCCCATATCAGATTTGTTCTGTCCTGGTACCTTGTTTTCATGGCTACTGCTAGCACAGTAGTTGGGTGTGCTGGCGTAACATCTGCTACCTTTTATTTGGTTTTGAAAGCTTTTGAGCTTTTTCTCTCCCACAAGTCTCATGTTAATATGCCTTATATTCATGGCATGGATTACTGTGAGACTTCTGAAAGATTGATTGAAAATGGGAAAGTGCAGAGGCAGCTCCTCTTAGTGATACACTATCTTACACATCAAAAGAGCACAGATGAGAACATGAGAGATTGTAAAAACCCTCAGCTGGGAGGAGTTAGATAAACACTCACCAGTGACCTGCCTGTTAAACCTTTTCCAGAATGTGTGAGTCTGAGAGATAAAGGGAGCTATAAAGGAGGAAGCAGCTGGCAGGGCACCAGACCAAACTGACCACAGCTCCCAAAAGGTTGTGGCCCAGGTTTGAAGAGGTGCCTTCCTAAGGAATCAGTATGGAGCCTGAGGAGTACAGACTGAGAGGTGAGTGATCCGTGGCTCTTGCAAATAGGTGACATTTGCTCGTGGAGATCAACTGCTGTAGGGCTGTGAGAGGTACCCAAAATTAGGATGGGCTATATACTCTTTTTACATGTGCACTTTGCCTTGAGACTTGGATCTGCTGAGGAAAAAATGTGTCCCAGGGTTGAGTTTAAATTCATGGATTATGTCTGTGGGTAACAGCCTTTTTGCTCTTACATCTAAGATGCTGTGGGAAAGCTGCAGAACTGTAGTTCTGAATAAACTTGTGCTAAGGGGTTATGCACAATAGCTTTTCCCTGGCTTCACCCCCTGAGACTGCAGTGGTACTTGGACAGTTCTGGAGATGGAGAGCCAACTTTGGTTCCAGGGCTGGAGGAGATTGCCTTAAAAAGTGGAGAAAGGGTGTGGAGCGATGCAGCTGATTTCAGAGGATGTGAAAGTGGGTTTGCTTTAATGACAAGGAAGTGTAGGACATGATGAAAATTTAATTCCTGTGAAATGCAGAAAATCTAACCTTTCAGTAACCAAACAAACTGTACTTGTACCATGACTGTGTTTTAAAACTACATTTGAACTATTTAATGATGGCACCGAAAAAACCCTGTGAGCCTGTTTTAGAACATTATTAGATGGGACAAGTAGGGTGTAGGAGGGAGAAGCTGGGAGCAGTATTCCAACGCTATTGGAATCTCTGTCCAGTGCTAAGGACAGGTTGTGTGGAGTGCCTTTACTGCTAGTTAGTGTTTCCATAATTGAAACTGAAACCACTGGTTTGCCTCTTCCAGGGAAAGAGATGGTGGATTACATTTGCCAGTACCTGAGCAATGTGAGAGAGAGACGGGTGACTCCTGATGTGCAGCCAGGTTACATGAGAGCCCAGCTGCCAGACTCTGCCCCAATGGACCCAGACAGCTGGGACAACATCTTTGGAGATATAGAGAAGATTATTATGCCAGGGGTAAGAAATGAAGCATAATCATGACAGGAAAAAGCCATTACTACCTGGGGTGAACATCAAATCCTGGGAATTCACAGGTTCTGCAGAACATTGTTCTAAATAAATAAAGTATTCAAAAATGTAGCATGAATCTTGTAAATGTTATGTCCACAGTTGTGTTCCTAACTATAATTTTAGGGGTTAGATTATGAGTGTATTTTTTAACTACTTTGCATATAATTCATGTTTGATTATAGGGAAACAAATTCAGCAGTATGAGAAAATCATTAGCTTCACAATGTCTCTGCCTACTGAACCATATAACCTTAATTTCAGAATGTGGAAATTTGGCACAGCAAGGTGAAACAACTCTTGCCCAGCTTCATGCACATACAAGGCTTGCTTCCTGTGCTTTGAATGTAAAAGTCTACTTCCTCTTGTACAAAGATACTGCAGATTCTGCTAAGGGAATTCATATTACCAAATTGCATGTTTTATGTAAGAAGCTTTTTCAAAGCCTGTTCTCAAATTTTTTGGTAGATGTTTGCAGAAACTTGATCTGATGTAGGAGAGGCAATCAGATTTACATGTACTTATGCTGGTGTCCCACACACCAGCTCATTCAGGTGTGTAGAAGGGTTTATATAGTTCTAAATTGCTGTGTGTTGCTAAAGGCAAGTTGTTGTTTTATAAAATGAGCAACTTTGTTGCAAGGATTCCCTTTATAAAGATAAATATTTTGATAAATCTTTCTGACTCTGCTCTTTCAAACACAGCACAGCATTATTTCCTGTTCAGAATCTTTGTCTGCCTGTTTAATTCAGATAAATGCCTTTGCTGTTATTTGCAATTTATCTGTTAATAATGCAGTGTTATCATCTGCTAGTGCTGCTCCCCTGTTGATATTATCTCTGCAGCTCCCTGCTGCAGATATATAGTTGTACGTATTATGTTGCTGTAATCCTTTTCTCTCACTTTAAACAGATAGGAACCACTACATCTCATGCAAAGTTTTGTGACATTTTCAGACTGAACTTCTGCATAATTCTGTTCTAGGTAGTCCATTGGCAAAGTCCACACATGCATGCCTACTTTCCAGCTCTAACTTCCTGGCCTTCACTCCTTGGAGATATGTTGGCTGACGCAATTAACTGCTTGGGATTCACATGGGTAAATTTTTTAGGGCTATTTTAGACATTCCTTTCCCGTGTGTAATATGCAAGAACAGGTCTTAGTCATTCTTTCTTGTTCTCTGTGTCAGAACA